ACATGATTAGACTATCTCAAAACCCAAGATCTTTTTAAAACATAGTAATATAAAGCCTCATTACAAAATAAGACAAAATACACCAAAACAAAATTGAACACTGTCATACTGTAATTGCTTATAGTATGTAAAAATTAGTTAGAACATATAATATGTTCATAAGTCTTGGTGTATGTTAGAATAGTTAATAGATTAATTTAAAGAGAGTAGATATAAAAAAATTTATTTTGAGTTTAATCTTTTTTGATTATAATATTTAAAAAAAATTATAAGACCTAAATATTTAGTATAAAGCCTTGAGAGGAGATTAGAACCTAAAGAAGAAAATATTAACTAATATGAGGCTTATTGGGAGGGATGAAAGTAAGGCATGGTTGGATGAAGGCAAAGAATGGAGATCTTTATTCCTATTAGTCAAAGCCCATGTCCAATGGACTTCAAGGAGGCTGCCTGAGGCCTTATTAGATATTAGGGTATCTCTTTCAAGGTCATTTGAGCTTTGGAGGCTAAGGTCAGCAAGTTCAGAGTTTTGGATATAATTTGGGTGAAGAATTTGTGTGATTTCGAGTTTTAGTGAAGGAGATGTAGGTATTCAAAGTTGAGGTATCAAATTTGTATCTATTGTCAGTCTTTGAAGCATAACATATGCGTACGGAGAAAAATAAAAGATCGGCAATTAGAATTGGAGAGAAAACTTTCTTGGCTATACTTTAAATATATTTTTTAATAAATTACAAATCTAAATGAAGGAGTTATAGGCCATTGAAGATAGCACATGTAATTCAAAGGCAGTAAGTGAGTCATTTTGTTGATAGTAATGGTTGGAGCCATATCTTGAGTTTCTGGTCGAATTTTTGGCTCAAAATTTTTAAAAGTGTGATTTATTAAGTTAAGAAGCTATAGATCAAAGTTTCATGGTATTTGACTACTTATTTTGTGAGATATGAAGAAAATAGCATGCAAGTGTATGTAAGCTAGGGTTTAAAGCTACTGCTAGGACTTTTGTCATATCTCAATATCCGTAATGAATTTGTAGTTGAATTTTTTTGTGGTAGTTTTTGAAAATATATTAGTACTTCATATAAAATTTAGGATTTTTTAGACGGTCCAATATTAATTCAAATCAAAGACTATCCAAAACATCAAAATTCAAGCAGCAACAAATGATAAGAAATTCATATTCTCAAGCGCTACGAAGTTGATGAAAAAGTGGAGCAAGAAAACATGGCTTTCTAATAAAGGCACTAATGGCTAGTATTAGAGATAGTTTTTGTTTCTCAAAGACAAATAATATGGCTTTGGACAATTATGAAAAATGATCGATTAAGATAACAGCCATATGGAATGCTTGTAGATTGCAGCTCTACAAGAAATTACATCTCAACAATAATAACCAACACACTTAGAATTAAAACAATGGACATCAAAGAAGAGAATATATACCTAATAAAGTATATTACACCTTATTTTATAATAAAAGTTTATTAAAGACCAAAAAATTACAAAGTCTAAGCTTTATTAATTTAAGAGCCTTAGCCTATTTTAAAGACAAAGATTTCATCAAAGAATAAGAATTATCGTTAGTCAAAAAAATTAAATTTGTACATATAAAAGTCATAGATGGTTATTCACTATTTTCTAAATATATTACAAATAAAATATTTCTTTAGATTTAAAAATTAAATACTATATCAATATAATAATAATTAATGTGAAAAGTTTTTCATTCAATTTAATTATTTTAGGATTATCTTAATTAAAAAAATATAATCCTTAGATAGATTAAATTTTTTGTAACCTTTATATTTTTGATAATTTAATCCAAAAATTCATAAGTCAAATAAATATACATAAGTTTAGTATATCCAAACTTCGATTAATAAGTGTGAGAGCTTTCATGCATGCCACAAAAAAAAAAAAAAAAAAAAAAAAAAAAAAAAAATGTTATATATGCAATGCATTATCTGATACTGAGAAGATATCAAATAATATTTTTAGCTAATATTAAGATTTCTTAGACGTTTTTGAAAAGAAAAATATAAAAATTCTTCCAAAGCATTATCTTTATGATTATTTTATTGATCTTTACAAAGAAGCTCAACCACCATTTGAACCAATGTATAGTCTATCACAAAACAAGGCAACTGCACTCAAAGAATATATAGATGAAAACTTAGCTAAAAATTTCTTATTTCATTATAAATCTCTAGTCAAGGCTCTTTTTATATTTATAAAGAAAAAATACAAATCTTTGTTGATATATATAGACTATCAAAGAATCAATAAGATCATCATCAAGAATAGATATCCTATATTTTTGATTTTATGACTTCTTTATGAACTCAATGAAGCAAAATTCTATACAAAAATAGATCTACAAAGAGCATATAATCTGGTACACATTAAAAAAAAAAAAAATGAATGAGAAACTACAATTAGAATCAAGTATGGACATTTTGAATATGATATCATGTCTTTTGGACTTACAAATGCTCTAACTGGTTTTTAACATGTAATGAATAATGTCTTTTGTGAGTTTCTTCATGATTTTATCATTTATTATTTGGACGACATCTTAATCTACTCTAAGAATACAAAAGATTTTCGTATGTAGATGACACATCACAAATTTTTTGTAAATGTGTATTGATTTGATAATATTGGGTGTTTAGTGTTTGGATTTTTTGAATTGATTTTGTAATTGGAGAAGAATTTTGAAGTTTTGATTTGATATATCTCTTTATTTTTATAATATAAAAATCATGTGATGGACTTAGAATGCTCTAAAAACTTTATAATCTTGAGATATAAGGCATTTGACTTGATTATTAGATATAAAGAATGGAGAATAGAAAATAAGGGATATAGATTAAGAGATGAGAATGAAAGTTGAGAACAAGAGATAAGAAGATGAATTGGGAATAAGGCACACAAAAAAGAAAATGGGAGTTGGAAATAAGAAACAAGAAATGACAGCCAAACATGAGATATAAAAGAAGATGTGGCTTTAACAATATTGAGGTGTGACATTAAACAACTCTCTCTCTCTCTCTCTCTAGATGTATATATATATATATATATGTATATATATAATATTTAAAAAATAATTTAATTATAATATTTTTTTTAGGATTTAGGATAAATATGCTCGGAATATTTTGATAAAGAAAATAATCAATGTTGAATCCTTGTTTATAAAATATCTATGTTTGAGAAGAATATCTTTTTGAGTTGCAAATATTCTTCCTGGAAACGAATGTATCATGTACATTGAGCGCTGTTGTGTACAACAACAAATAAATTGTTTGAAGCAAGAGTGATGGTTGAAAATTGGGATTGAGGGGCAGCCCTTGAACAAACTTCAGCACCCATGCATGTGAATGTGGATCAGTGTGGGCCAAACTGTCCAGCCTCCAACCTGCCGCCCTCCTAGTTCCCTTACGTTCCCTCCCTCCGTTTTCAGAAATCCGATCAGCGGTTGAGATTGCATCTGAGCGGCAGCTGCGATCCGACGGCCCACGATGGCGGAGCTAGTCGATTTAGTAGTGAGGTTTATGCGCCACAATTCGATGAGGCTGACAGAGTTCATGCCGCATCAGGGGCTGGAAGGAAGGTCCTATTGAAGGATCCCACTCCCGATCGTCCGTACGGGAGTGGCGCAGGCCATCGGCACTTAAATTCTGGTTGTGGGTTTTTACTGCCGTCACCTGTGAACGTGTGTTCGTGTGAGATTTGGTGCTTCTGTCAGTGCGCATTGCAGGAAGTGGGGTTTTGAAGATCGATCGAGGCAGGATGTGTTACTCCGTGAGATGCAGTAAATGTGGGAAGACGTCATGGGCGGGGTGCGGGAAGCACGTCCCGGGCGTTTACAACGGCATCGCCGACAAAGAGAAGGATTTGTGCCTGTGCAAGAGCTGGCCTGGAGTGGAGCTTCCCTCTCATTTGGCTTCTAAGGTTCAAGAGGCTGGAACGGTAAAAGCCCTTGTCCCAATTTCGCTTTAACGTTTCGAGTTTCTTCTTAATTTGCCAGTTTCTAGGAACATTTCTTGCTACCTGACTCTCGATTCGTCTGGTCTGTTCCCCTGTTTGAAATCAGGGTTATGGTGTAAGTTTTCTTGAGGAAACAACCTCCATTGTCAATTTCGAATTTTGTCGTCTTCAAATAGTTAGACAGATGGCAGAAAGGGCCGCGCCACAAAATCGATTGAGTCTGATGCGGTCACAGGGGATAATTGTTCTTTTTTATGATTGTAAATTGGTTGTGGTGTGCAGGCTGACAGTGCTTGCGCCAATTGAGGATGCAATCATGCTGCCAAGCTAGGGTGGAGCAGACAACTGCATGAAGTTGGTCCTGTGCTCATCGGTGTGAAGGTTTGTGAAGAGACTAGACATCCTATCCTTGAGAGGTCGAGGAAGCATGAAAATTTACTGGTGACTTGAAATATCTGCCGAGAGATATTTGTACTGGTTATACAACCTGTTATCTGCCCCATTCAGTAAAGTACGACAACAGTTGCCACAAGTTCTGAATGCGCTATGTTCCAAAGCGTTGTCAAAATGCATCATCAGATTTTCACAAAAACCTGAAATGCCTGATCAATGACACTGAATAATCGTAATAGCTCACCCAGACTATTACGATTGTCATTAACTCTTTTCCCAGCTATTTACATCCTGAGAGGTGAACCACTCAAATTCAGTCACTGAGATTCTCGCCAAATAGATCTAATTACTACTAATCGTACGGAGTGGAGGGTACGATGAACCAGACAGTTTTACAAAGTGCCTGTTGGCATCCACCATAGGATGCTGCAATTAGATTTACTTATCCATTTAAATCGCGCTGTAGATGGAATTAAACGATAACGTTTTTCATAAATTACAGTAGAAACTTGCAGCATGCAATACTACCAACGCAATTAACAAATTTCCGCGAGCTGAACGACGAGAATTTCGAGACAAGCACAGAAACTAGCATAAACATATCACTGGACACCACATTTTCCACCTTCTATCGACAGCATCACGGATGTGAGCTTGTCAACGAAGTCATTCTCCGCCTAAGGAAAAATTATTAGTTTCGTCTTCGAGCTACTCAGCACCGATACTTCAAACCTGGTTACATCTGAAAAAGCATAGATGAGACCTTACTACACGAGTGCTGAAACACTATACAATTAAATTGCTCCTCAATAAACGCTAGTCAATTGTGCTCACAGATAACCTAGCAATGCTAAAACTATGAATCTCAATGTGGTACTGAGAAATGCTAATTGAAACTGCATGAACAGCTCGTCTCCAATGCTGAATCACGATAGGCATGGTTTCAGAGATTTTAGATATCATAACGATGATGCGTCATCGGTGGAATAACGCAACATCCTGAATTAGTTCCAGTTCGACAGCGCATCAATTTGAATATGCGTGCACAATGAAGGGAAGACAGTAAACTGATCAACCACAATCACAAGTCAAGCCCAGACCTCGTCACATGTACAAACTGACGCAAGACCGACCCTTAACCCCAATATCTCCTATTGCTAAACATTGCAGTACGTTGACATGGCTGTGTTAATTTGAGATAATTCAATAATTAATTGGACGCTTTCATCTGAATTATATGACTATTTACTAAATCAACAGCACTGAAATGCCCGCGGCTCATCGTTTGCAAGCTTTTTGTTTCTCTGGAAGGTGAAACAAGTGACGTTACTCCTAAGGGGAGAGTAGCGAAACCAGAAAATGGCCTGATTTTTGAGTTTTGACTTCCTCCTGCCCTCAAACCCAATAGATGAGACCTTATCGACTGACTGATAGAGCCAAATCCTCCAAAATTAGAGGGATTCGACACATTCAGGAGCGGAACTCGTAATGAATGAGAGCTTGTATGAAATTCATGACCCTGCAAACAGAGCATATAGTGATTAATTTGCTTCACATACAGCGTGCTAAGTTTCTATGTAGAAAACCTACTCGATACTGATCAAATGAAAAACTAACATACCAAAGAAATAACAGGCGAGCACTCTTACAACCCAATTTGAATGGAATGTAGAAAAGTTACTAAGGAGATGCAAAATTACCAAAAGAATCCATATGAGTGAAGGGGTTTCTAACATTTTGGAATTCAACCTGGTGGTGCTGTGGATGGCTGCTGTTGATTCTTTGTGATTGCCCTGGAGCAGACGGTGGGCCTTGAGGAGGCTGTACTCCTCTCCAACGTTGTACAGTTTTGTAGATATGGGTGGGGAGCCGAAACAAAAAATGTAATCGATTTTGAAACTTCTCTCTCCTCGTTGCATTATCACGATTTACATAGTGATTGAGCTCAGATGCACGCCGGTAAAGCCTTGGGAATCCATACAACTGCAGCCAAGAGAAACAAAACTGTTGAGTTCCCATAATAAGCTATTATAATCGCACGTCACCTCGTGGCAATTTACAACCAACCGTAAGCGCCGAAACTTAAGGGTGTCAATCGGAAGCAAAGAAGTGGTGATTCCAGAGGCGCTGGATGGTTCCACCACATTCCAAACCCTAAGCCTCAGAATGGCTTTGCAATATCTTCAGATAATCAATGGAAGCATTACACTTTGGGTTAGAAAGAATTGTAAAGAAACCACCACAGCTCACGAGGTAGGATGTTTAATGATTATAAATCTACCTTAGGGTTTGACAGGAAATTCCGAGTGGCCGAGGTCAAGGGCATAAATGAGGAAAAGCATACCTTAGCAACAAGGAAGACGATGACCTTTTTTGCAAGCGAGAAGGCAACGACCTTCACTATTAAGGGAGCCACCATCTTAGGGCCTCATCAGCAATGACCCCCTTTGCCCAATACTGTTTCTACCCTACCTACCAAACTAAAGCAATTTCGAAAAATTCAGGCGCTGTAAAGCTCTCTTCACTGGGGCGATTCCTCTTAGATGAAATTCTGGGCGTTAAAATGCAAAAACGACGACCCTTCACTCAAACTTCTCCTGTAGATCATGCCCAACAGATTCGACCAAACCTACGAACAAAATCGGTCACTAAAAGTGACGCGATCCCCGGATCATACAACCTAATTGAGTGCTTCCGGATTTGAGCTCCACGGACTTCCACCGATGACTGTTCCACCCGAGTAATCTCCACACCAGCTAGAGATTCCCAACCCTAGTTTTCCAATCCTGCTCTCGATCCAACAATGACCGCAACGAAGACGCACTGTACTGTGCAATCCCACACCGACCCACAAAAATCACACTGTCTCACTGCTAGCAAACCCTAACTTCTCTTGGATCCCACCCACAAAGTAATCAGTCCGTGGGTAAACCCTTGTGCCCTTTGTTCCACAAAGCACATGTGTGAAAGGGGCAAAATCTGGTCTTGTTGGATAGTCTCCGTGAATGATTGTTGAACGAGGTGTGAATTCTGGATGTTGTTTGAGTTATTCAAATTTCAGGAAGCAAGAATCATTGATAGAATGGTTGAGAATTGGGTGAGTCTTTATTTCATTCCAATGGCTATTTGGAAGAAATTTATTCAAAGTATGAATAGAACAAAAAATTATAAATTATAACTAAGTTTTTTTTTGCTCCTTCTAAAGAAAATTGTTTTTCAATTTTTGTGCTCTCATTATAAAGAAGACAAGATAATAATATATATATATATATATATATATATATATATAAGAAAAAATGATATAGCAACCCAAATTTTTACTAAATTGACCCACATGTGTTAAACCATCATTGTATCCTTTCAACCCCATCCCCATTCTGAACCATTCTCATGTTCCCGACATTCCTGGCCCCACCCCCATCCTTAGCAATGGTTGGGAATGGGGAATGGCCAGAAATAGGGATGGAGGGTTGCAAGGGTGCAATGATGGGGTAAGATGGAGTGGGTCACTTTAGCAATAATTTGAGTCAAATTATCATTATCCTGTATATATATATATATATATATATATAATCATATTTATATGATAACTAATATATATATATAATCATATTTATATGATAACTAATATATGTATATATAAAGTTATTAGTATATTACTTGTAGTTTTTTCCATATGATAGTGGTATATTAATCTTTATTTAATTTCTTGAAAAAGTAGACTTTAAAATAATCAATATTAATAACAGTTATAATAAACTTCTAAAATTTTAAAAAATATTATTTCTGGAGTTTTCGAATTATAAAAAAGAACTACTTAATTTTCAATATTTATGTTTTTAATAAAGATTCAAAATAAACATGTTAAGAACAGATAACATGCTAACAATTAATCGTACATTAACTGTATGTGTTACTGAGTATTCATGTCTTTAATACTTGGCCAACTTTAAAATTGCATTGTATAGGGCACTCCTTCAGAGATGCATTGACGAATTGGGAGAAGTTGGTTAATTTGAAGTTAATATATTGATAATTATAGTCATTGCAAAATTTGCAAATTTTAGCTCCTTTGTGTAGATAGGCATATGATTGAAAATTCTATAACTTTACAAGCTTAAAAGAAAAAAGAAAAAGAAAAAACCTTTGTGGACATACTACCATGGATATAACAGAAGTGTCATAATCGTTTCCTAAATGCTAAATCAAAATAAATGACTAAATAAATAAATAAATGTGAGTTTATTAGCTCTGAATAACTTTATTCTTGAGAAGATTTTATTCAAACATATTTATGAAATGAATAAATATAATGTGATTACTTGTACCAGTACAAGGAATATCAAATTAATCCTTTTTATATTAAATATTAAAAACTATATCAGATTAATATATAATTAATTGTAAAAAAACATTCATTTTGTTTCTCAAGTTGTATAGCTTCTTAAATATTCTTAATTACGTTTCTTATACACATTTTTTTATATACATTAAACTTTAATGTATAATATTCTTCTTGTCCTTCTTCTTCAATCAATTTTATTTACTTTTATTAATATTTTTTTACCTCCTGATTTTGTGAAATTGCTCCTAATATCTTCAAATTTTCTTCAATTTGACACCTCTGATATTTTTATTCTGATTAGATTTTAATTACATACTCTTACATGTTAACTTTAAAATTTGCAACAACAGCATTTCTAACTCAATTCACATAGCATGTTTCTAGTTGCTACATAGAATGCCATACTATATACAAATACTCTTAATTTTGCATAGTATAGATAATTATTTTATTTTATTTTTTACTTTTTTCAAATGTGAAGTTGTGTGTATTGGTTCAAATTTTTATTTAAATACTTGACTATTAATATATAATAAACAACTTTTATCCAAAAATATTTTGAGATTTTACAATATCAAACTAATAAAATTAATTTGGTGGTAAATATATATATATATATATATATATATATATATATAATTCTTTAATATAATTTAGTTATGATTTTTTATATGGTTTATATTTTTTAACTTGTAGTGACAATCAATCAATACCACATACTTATTCTACAAGTAGAGTACAAGAATTTCATAAAGACTTCAGTAAAAAAATACCATGCAATTATTTTGGTAGATTGAAAAGTGGCAAGAAATTTACTTGGCAATAATAACATCTAAATCATTATTGTTTTGTTTCACTGGAATCGGAAACAAATATCTATTAAATTTTACATTTCTTCTAATATAATTTGACTGTATTGAGTTTTAATAACCAAAAACGAATTTATCGTTTCTTTTTTAAACACTAATATTTTCAATTTTCTTTCAAACATGGAGACTTTACTTTTGTTTAAAATTTCCATAGATCAATTTATTAATTTAAAATTTTTTTAGATACTTTATAAAATATTGTAAAAATGTAATTTAAAATCCTTATACTTTTAAATCTTCTATTCTTTGTTATTTTATATTTTTATTTTATAAATTTTAAATTATAAATTGGATGACTTAAGTTCTACACATTACTTGGTACTTCACTTACAAATCTAACACATTTAGATTCATGCTTATTTGTAACTTGCATACTTTTATATTGTATATATATATATATATATATATATATATATGTATGCATGCATGAATAGACTGGCATTGCTTTCAAAAAGTATTTAACAAAAAATAATTATTATATACATACATATATATATATATATATATATATATAGATTCCAAAATTATAATTATTTATTTCCTTACTTCTTTTTTCTAATAATTTATTGTTTTATTATACATGAGCACTCTTTCTATGACAAAAACAATTGTCTTTGTATGGATTACAAAATATTTTTCAAGCTTAAGATTTTTAATAACTAACAAAAATAATAATTTAAATTCATAGTTGCTAATAACTGAAAATAAAATTTTAAAGCATGTTCCAGTCATTTATATTAACTAAATAAATAACTAAAAATTCTTAAAATAATTATCATAGAGCAATTCTCAAAAAATATATAACCAATCTATTTGTTTCTTCCTATTGTTGATTGCTAATCTTAAAATATCTATATATATATCTATATATATATATATATATGTAATTATTCATTTTTTATTTTTATTATTATTTTTATTATTTTTTAATACTTCTATTTACTAAAAGTGAATCATATAATAGTATTTTAAAAACTATGCTTTATACAATATGGTGTGAGTCACTAAAGTGACTCATTTAAATACTTAATATAAAAAATACACTTATTATGTTTAAAATCACAAATCAATAGAAGTTACAAACAAAGATAGAAAATAGAATATAATCTTTTTTAAATTTCATTGTTTTTATAGCAAAGATTTGCTATTATGTATCTTAGTTTTAATAGATGTTGTTAATAAAAAGTATCAATATTCTTTCCAATATTTGTAAGATTTTTAACTAGCTTTCATGTATATTCACTAATATTATATCTATACCAATGAATAAGATATTCTAATCTATTTTAGATTTGCCTTGAATCAAAGACTTCTTTTATTTCATACTTTTGGGTATTATTCACTTCTATGAGAGGGTAAGGCATTTTTTTGTCTTCCTAGTATATCTATTATCTTATATGGCTTAAGAAGAGACACATGAAATATGAAAGTAATCTTCATAGATTCTATTAGATATAATTGATAAGCAATTGAATAAATCTATTCATATGTAGGAAATAGTCAAAGTTTATTATAATCCAAATTGTTATAAAGATAAATAATCTTGATGTTATAACAAAGTAATTATATATTGTTGCCAACATGGAATTGAGGTTGTTCTTTACGATAAGCATTTGTATTGATCTTTTATCATTCTTGAGTTTTTTCTAGTTGTACCTTCATTGTTGTATATAACTTAGATAAATGATTTGCTAAATCTTCCATTGTAAGTTTATCAACTTTTGAAATATCAAGTTATGAATAATAATTATAATTGGCAAAGAAAGGTATTTATTGCATAAAATAATATATCATATTATTATAAGTAAATTTTTTTAATGATAAAAGATCTTTTTAATCATTTTATTGATATTTTATGGAATACTTCAAATATTGCTTCAAAACTTAATTCATTCAATCTATTTGTTCATCAATTTGAGGATGAAAAATTAAAGATATTTTTATATCTATCTTTAGAATCTTAAAAAGACCTTTCTAAAATCTTAATACAAATTAAGTCCTTTGATTCCATATAATATATTTTGACAATCGATGAAAGCAATAAATATTGTCAAAGAAAAGTTTAGTTATTTTTTTACTTATAATAGATTTTATACATAATATAAAATATAATATCTTGGTGAATCAATCTATTATAATCAATATAGAGTCAAAAGAATATGAAAATAAAAGACTTGTAATAAAGTTTATAGAAACATAAGATTATGATTGGTTTAGATCAATTAATAGCTGAAGAAGTCCATAAAATTGATGACAAGGAGTTTTTAATCTTGAAAAAATGTCACATAATTGTACAAAGTCTTTAACTATCTTCTACATTTGAAGCCACTAAAAATCTCTAGATATTAGCTTCAAAGTCTTATTTTATCCAAAATGTCAAGTTGCTAGAAAGTTATGAAAAGTTTGAAGAATATATAATTATGTTTTATCTTGTAGAATATATAATAGTGCCTCAAAATAAAATAGATTATTTTTTAACTCAAACTTAGAAGAATCACGAGATATAAAAAAATATATATTCTTAATATCATGAACAAGAAAAACAGACAATATACTTAATTGAACTTGCTTGAAAAAAATTTGAGTTAATAGCCAATGTTAATTTCATTGCTTTAAGATGAAAATGCTTTGGTTTTAAGAAAATCATTCTTTGTTAATGAAAAGTTGGATTTTCTTCTTTTGATACAAAATAAAAACATCTAGAAAACACATCTAATAAACCTTGTTATTTTTTGGATCAATATGTGATCTTGAAATCAAATCTTGATAAAGATATGTTCTAATGGGCTTGGCAATGATTCAAAATATGTACCAATATAAAGTGCTTGAGATTTATGTGATTTATATCTACATTGTTTGGATTAGAAGTGTCTTTTAGATAATGACACTATTCTTGAAATAAATCCATAATTCTAAGAAGCTCTTCATTATGGATCTTATTGTTAATTTTGGCTATTAATATTTTCTTGGATTAAAAAGCTAGTAAAAAGAGCTTGTCAATTTCTTCTTTTTGTAATGAAATAACACCTATAATAAAGTTTGATATTTATTTTTATAAAAAATGCATTGAAAAAGTTGATATAATACAAGATTGGTGCAAAAATAGATGGTATCTTTAAGGCTTCAAAAGATACTTCAACTTCTTTGTTCTATTTAAGATTATCTTTACATGTCAAATATATAAAGTAAGTTGCTATTTGAAAAAAGTTCTTGATGAAGATCTGATATTAATTGACAAATTTCAAAAATATTACAAATTTTTAATTTTTTTAGAATATTTTCATCCATGATAGTTTGGACCTTCTTAAGATCTATCATATGGCCATCATTTGAAATGATGTATCCTAAGGAGTAAACTTGAATAGCATGAAATATATAGTTTTCTATTTTGGCATAAATCTTGTATTTTTTATGTTATTGAAAATGCTATTGAATAAAGTTCATACTCTTTTGTGTTCTTGGAATAGATTAAATTCTTGTCTAGATAATAATTGACAAAGTCATCAAGAAACTTATGAAAGACATCATTCATTAGATGCTGAAAAGTAATTGGTGCATTTGTGAGTTCAAAAGGCATGACATTAGCTTGATTCTAAATGCAGTCTTTTATTCATCTCCTTATTTGATGCACACCAAATTGTATGTTTTTTGTAGATTTATTTTTGTATAGAACTTTGCTTGATTGAATTAATCAAGAAGTCTTGAAATCAAATGTAAAGGATACCTATTCTTCATGGTGATCTTATTAAGTCATCAATAATCAACACACATCCGTAATGATTCATCTTTTTTCTTCACAAATAAAATAGTAGCTTATGTTGGAGATTTAAAATGGCATATGAAGTTTTTAGCTAAGTTCTTATAAATGTATTCTTTTAATACAACCAACTTATTATATAATAAGTTGTAGATTGATCCAAATGGTGGTTGAGCTCCTTCTTGAAGTTTAATGGAATAGTCATAAAAACAATGTTCTAGAAGTATATTTGTATTTTTTTTTTCAAAAATGTCTTCATAATCTTAGTATTGGCTTAAAATGCCACTTAAAGACTTTTTTGCATCAAAAATAGATATGATATATATAGGAAAAATTGACCATTTTTTTGTCACATTCATGAAAGCTCTTGTATCTAATAATAAAGATTTAGATATATTAGATTTAGGGATTTTTACTTGATTAGCAAAATCTTAGGCTAAACTTTAAAAAAATAAAAATTATAAGTAATCTAATTTATTTAGGGATTATAATTTTTTAGCCACAATAATCTTAAAATAATTTGATTAAAAATAGATCTAATTATATTAAATATTACTAACCTATTATAACCATTAGTTGTTACATTTAAAAGAATAATTTTATAGGTAATATTTTAAAAAGATAAAAAATAATTATTTATTACTTCTATATTTAGAATTTTTATTTTTTAAATTAAATTTATATCTTGTTTTTAAATAAAGTCTTTCTTTATAAAACAGGTCAAGGCTTTTGAATCTAATAAAACTAAGATTTGTGATTTTTTGGTCCTAAATAAATTTTTATCATAAAGCAAGGTAAAGGATCTAAAGAAAGAATGAGACCTTTATTAGATATTGCATAAGATTCTAGCCGCATAGTCCTTATTATAATTGAAAAAATTGATTTTTTGATATGTTGTCTTCTTTGACAACTATGCTCTTCATTTTGTGATTACATTGTTTCTTTGGACAATGTTAAATAATATGCTTAGATTCTCTATAATATAAATAAAAACCTTCTTGATGACTTCAAATCATTTCTTGTTTAATAAGAGGTTTAAAATATACCATACCCATTTAAATAGGTTTTGGTCTTGATAAATAAACTTAAATGAAGTTCGAGGTTATACACATGTCTTGACTTATATTTCTCCAACCAAATCTTTATTCTTGACATCTTTCAAATATTCAATTATTACATGCAATGGCTTAAGCAATAAATTGCTTCAATAAGTCTGCTCTTGGCATCATCAACAGTAAAACTTTGATGTTATCTTTTAATGCATATCAAAATTTATTGATAAGAGCTTTATCATTTCAATACATATTTTATGTGAGGTTTTAGAATTCAATAGCATATGTAATAGCTAAATGTAATCCTTATCATAAAGATATAAGTTTAATCCTTGCTACTTTTTTTCAATTACTTTTTTCAAATATGGCCATAAAGACTTCTAAAAATGAATTTAAGTGACAGAATAGTTGTGAATTATTTTCCATCAATGGTGTCAATCAAAAAAGACACTTCTAAGTAGAAATGTGTTTATAAATTTGACTTAAGTAAATTTATTGAGGTATTAAGATAAATGCAATCTCAAGTAGATCTTTACTTACTGTAAAAATCCTCAATATTTTGATCTAGTTCCATCAAATATCTCTAGCATATTTATCCTTGTTACTCTCATGTTTGTATGAGCAAGATTCTTCAAACTTAGTTGTAAATTTGATTCATTTGCTTCTTTCAATTGTACAACTTCTTAGCATAGATTTTAGACTTCATTATTGACTTCTTTCGTCAGTGTAGGAATACTACTTCCATGATTAATATTGAAGATCTATGAAATTTCCACCTTAAGAGTGTTAAAAAGCTCGTGAATATTTGTAATAATTACAAATCTATTTTTACTTCTGCCAAGAGTAGAATCCATATTTTTCCTTCTACAGACAATTCAAACAAATCTAAAAGTTAAATTAGAAGAAGATAATCTACAACCTCTAATATCAAATGAAAATTTCTACAAAAAAGATAATCAACTCTCTTTAAGGAAAAGATTAGTATTAGAAAATTAAATATTATTTCAAAGGTCAATAGTCTATAACATTTGAAATACAACAATAAAAGTGAGATAATCCAGTCATTTATAAAAATAGAATAAAAATAAAAAATTAATATTCTTATTAAATTGTTAAGAATATGAATCTTAAAGAACTAAAAAATCAATATATTCTTGTTACTCAAAAAGACTAGAAAAATACTCAATGGTAGTATATTATTAAATTAGAATTTCTATTGCTAAAGATAAAAAGACTCGAAAGCCTTAAAATAAGATTAAATACCAAAAAGACATTGACATGAATGAAGAAGGCTTCACCATTGTTGCTTTAATTAGAAGCTACTTGGCGACATTCTATAAGACCTTTGAAAAATGTCCAACTGGCAAGACATATATCTAACTTGTAAGAGAAGTTTCCTATATGCACAAGTTACTAGCATGTGCAATATGTGGCTAACTTTTGGCCAAGTTTCTAACCTACCAATCAACTACAAATATATCTAGAAACAAACATGTCTATGAAACTTCTAAAAAGCTTTGCCTCAAGATAATATCAAATCTATCTACATTCATCATCTATCTACATAATACAGGTTCAAGGATAGAAATGAAGTAGTAGTGGTTCATGCAACAGCATGGGTGCGGATTCTGCAACATGAGGTTGGAGGTGATTGATCACATGTTGTAGGGAGTTTTAATGAAGCGACGCTTAAGCAGCTTGTAAAACTCTGATAGCAAGAAGAAGACGAACACCGAGACGATCACGATGATCCACTCCCAGGTAATGCCTTCCTGCTTGAAGACTTCCGTGTTGAGCGTGCCGATGTAGATGGTGGGGATGGGCAGAAGAGCACCGATGAACACACTCGCAACCAAAACTTTGTTGGAGAAGAACCGCGAGGCGCCGCCTCCCTCAGCAGTGAGCAAACTGGCACGGAGGTGGCGGCAGTTGTAAGCGTGGAAGAGGATCATCCACGTGAAGGACAGTTGAACTGTGGACCTGGCGCGGAAGATGGTGGAGCATTCTTGTAAGTTGGCGGTGGTGTTGCAGAGAGTGGCGAGGTCGGAGTTTCCGAAGGGGTAGATGACGAGCACCCATGATGCCAGGGCGAGGATGCCTATGAAGGTGCCGAAAATGAAGATGTCCATGATGAGCTCCACAGTGAAAAGTCCTTTGACGTGGGGAGGGACTTGCATCACGGAAGAGGAGGCCGGCTCAATTCCCAGAGCCATGGCAGGCGGTGTTCCCGTGACGAGATTCAGAAAGAGAATCTGCACTGGGGATAGTGGAAAGACGGAAGTGCCCGTCCGATCCTTGAAAGCCAAACCTATCAGTAGCACTATCACTTGTCCGACGTTAGTGCTCAGCAGGTGCAACACGAACTTCTTGATGTTGGAGAAAATCCTCCGCCCTTCGCCGATGGCTTGTACTATGGTTGCGAAGTTGTTGTCTGTGAGCACGATGTCACTGCTTGTCTTGGCCACATCACTACCTGCGCCCATGGCGATTCCCACATCGGCCTTCTTCAAACTGGGCGCGTCGTTCACCCCGTCGCCGGTCATGGCCACGAATTTCTTTCTCCGGTGGAGCGCGTCGATCATTCTCACCTTCGTTGAGGGTGTGCACCGCGCAATTACAAGAGGGAGATCGACCAGAGCATCCACTTGCTCATCAGTCAGTTGGTCAAATTCTGTCGCGGTCATGACAGATGCTGACAAGGGGACGATTTCATTACCATTCGCTATCTCAGACCCATGTGGTTCCTCTATGATTCCCACTTCCTTTGCAATCGACATAGCGGTGGCTTTATGGTCTCCGGTGAGCATGTGAACTGTAATACCGGCGCGGTGACAATTGCGCACAGATTGCTCAGACTCGACCCGAGGAGTGTCTCTGATTCCAACCAAACCAAGGAATGTCAAGCTTTTCTCAGCGTCGTTACGCTCCCACTTTGAAAGGGGCTTGCCGATGGATCTCTCCGATACTTGCCCGTACGCGAGCACTAGAACCCTTAAACCTTGCTTTGCCATCTCCTCCTGTTGCGTTGAGACGAGCTTCAAGAACCCCTCGTCCCCAGAGATGCTATGTATGTCTCCAGTCCGATCCATCACGTTGTCGCAAATACTGAGCACAACTTCAGAACCCTTCGTGAAAATCTCTAAGAAGTTTCCCGACTCAGTCTGGCATACCATGCTCATCCGCTTCGTGTCTGAGCTGAAAGGAAATTCCTCAACGAGTTCCTTGTGTTTACGCAGAATGGGCATACCCATCTCCATTTTATATGCGAACACTTGGAGGGCGATCTCAGTGGGGTCTCCCCACACTTTACCCTCGGATGCCTCGACGATGTTCGCCGTGTTGCACAAGGCACAGCACTCCACCAGCAATCGATAATTCACATCCTCCAGCGCCGCTGATCTAACTACAGCGACACCCGCCGAAGTGGACAAGTCGCCAACAGTCTCGTACCCTTGCCCAGCGACAATGTACTCAGACTCATGTCCCGGCAGCCAAACGTTCGTCACCACCATCTTTCCCTCCGTCAGCGTACCCGTTTTATCCGAGCAGATATTGGTCACTGCTTGAAGCGATTCCAACGCCACCAGTTTCCTCACCAATGCATGCTGCTTGGCCATACGCCGCACGCCTAGCGCTTGTACAATCGTGATGACTGCAATCAGCCCCTCAGGAATGATAGCAATCGAGAGCGCGATGGCGTAAATCACAACCTCAGTACTGAAGTTAAACTTGTTTACAGCAAACACAATCAGCGCAAGCAGCAGCGCAAATGCGAGGAGCATGTAGGCCATCAGATTAAGCTTCCTCTGCATAGGAGTGGACTGCGTCTTCGTCTCGTTGATGGCCTTGGAAATCTTTCCAATCTCGGTAGACATCCCTGTGCTCACCACAATCGCCTTCCCTCTCCCCTTCACCACCGTAGTACTTGAGTATGACATGTTGGTGCGGTCCCCAATCGAGACATCCTTCCCCCCGATCGGCTGCACAGTCTTCAAAGAAGGCACAGCCTCTCCTGTCAGCAACGCCTCGTCGACTTCCAGGTTCAGAACCTCAATCAGACGACAGTCAGCAGGTACAACATCCCCGACCTCGAACGTCAACAAGTCCCCGGGCACCACATCCCTGCTCGAGATTCGGTGATGGCTTCCGTCTCGAATCACCTTCGCCGAGGGTGACGCCATTTTCCGCAATGCATCCATGGTCTTCTCGGCGCGGTATTCTTGCACAAACCCCACGATTGTATTGAACGCAATCACAATTACCAGAACCCCCGCCTCGGCATAATCCTTCACTGCAAAGGATACAACCATAGCGACGACAAGCACGGCCGTCAGGCCGTTCGAGACCTGCCGCAGCAAGATCTTCCATGGGTTCACCCCAGCCTGCCCCTTCAGCTCGTTGTAACCGTGCTGCTTCAGCAGCTCTGCACTCCGCCCATCCGACACGCCCAGGTTTGGATTCGTCCCCAACGCCTTGCTCACGGATTCCACCGACTGCGCATGCCAGTTGTACCCATCCTCGTCCAAATTCTCATGTCGCTTGTCCCCAGAGCCCTCCATCACCTTCGCAACTTCGCAACTTCGGACATGGCCTTCCCTTCCCCAGTCACGACCTCGATGTCGAAACAACCGGTAATACCAAAGGTGTTACTCAACTGTCAACGGAGCACAGGATCGTCGTCGACAAGTACTGCAATGGTACAATGACTTCGTGGGCGGTGGCATTAGAAGCAGGTCGCAAGTGATAACGATGACCAACCACGCGCAACTGATCACTGGGTACGAAATTTCCGCCTTTTGTCTTTTTACTTCAGAAGGAGTTGCATACTGCAAGGCCAATAGTCATCACAGACGCACGACCTTTGAGTATCTTTTGCCAGATAAGCCATTTTCTCTTGTCAAGAGGTGGCCACACTACCTACCACCCAACAGTCTCCACCGCAAACCCACCTGAATGCACGGACTCATAGCTACGTCATGATCCATGTCGACATTTGTGTGAAGTTCTAAGATATCTAATTTCATGTCTTTGTACTGAAGATTCACACAACTGACGCCATTGAACAGAAGTATTAGTATTCTCTAAAAACTTGCGACTCTTACTATTCACCCTGTTAAACCATTCTAAACCATTTACCAGCATCACGAATGAATGTGTAACACATTTTTTCATTTCATGTCTCAAGTCAACTCTTAGCTTCTAGATGTCGATGTTTAAACTTCATAGGATAGAGTATCGCATCCCTTTACTTCTCTCTCGCTCTCTCTTTCTCTCGCCAAAGACACTCACACAAACGTCAGATTCTCAGAATGCAAAAAAAAATGTGAGACCATTTCATAGGGTGAATCAGGATGAATGACGTGGAAGTAATGGCTAAGATTTCCACGTTGCAAAACCCCTCCATGCAAACACGTCGAGATTCTCACCCCCTCGGAGCAGCACGAGCCTTTAGCGAAACACGGGGAGGCGCCTGCTTCACCCCCACTTACTACCATCCTTTTTCCCCGAAGTGGAGCGGATAAACAAACGGTCCAGGACGATTCGAGCCTGGAAGATCCGTGCGGGCGTTTGGACTGTAGTAGTAACTCTTCCATCATGTCGCAGAATTCTTGACGCGGGGAGGCGTCAACTGAGGGAGATGTGTCAGTCGTCGAGCACGAGGACAAGGCCGTCGGTCGAAATTCCGTCCAGGTGCACTTGTAGATCCGTCCCCTAGTAGGATTTATCAGTACGGACGTTGAGTGGCCCCGCATGGCCGAGACCCATCCGCGGTCTTAGGTGGTAAAAGTTCGCCATCGATTTCGTTGCGTGGGTTCTTGGGATGTTTTCGACCTGCCGCCGTGGGACATTGGTTTGGTAATCGTGGAATTTGTGGGTAGGTAGGTAGGAAGGAAAGATTCATGGATGCAGAGGTCCATGTCAAACTTCGAATGACGTGGACGTAGAATGTGAGCAAAGGTTGTTTACGTGCGGTGAAAAGGGATTTGACACTAATGTCTGCTGGTGTACGATTTGGGGGTGTGAAGTAAAGAAAATGTAGGGGTAGAAATTTAATAGAGAATTTGGAAGCTAACATAGTTTATATATATATATATATATATATATATATATGGTTGAAGATAAAGAAGTTAGAACATAATTTGTGAAAAATATTGAATGGAAGAAAATAATGGTGGATATAAGTTATATTGTAAGATGCCTTTATTTTTTTTCTTTACTTAATATATAGTCATTGTTACTTTCTTCAGATCTAATAGAATTATGCATCTTTTGACCGAGAATGTCAATTGTTCTTTTAATCCTTTGGAGTTGTCAAAAATAGATAAATCATAGAAGAATTTATTTTTATAAAAAAGATATAATATCAAAAAATAAATAGTAGATAGACACAGATCTAATAGAATTATGCATCTTTTGACCAAGAATGTTAATTGTTCTTTTAATCCTTTGGAGTTTTCAAAAATAGATAAATCATAGAAGAATTTATTTTTATAAAAAAGATATAATATCAAAAAATAAATAGTAGATAGACACAGATCTAATAGAATTATGCATCTTTTGACCGAGAATGTCAATTGTTCTTTTAATCCTTTGGAGTTTTCAAAAATAGATAAATCATAGAAGAATTTATTTTTATAAAAAAGATATAATATCAAAAAATAAATAGTAGATAGACATAACTTTGAAATTGTTGAACTTATTGGACATGGTTTGTTGGATATTTAGAATGTTATATTAAAGATAATAGAAAAAAGTCAAATATTCAAAATTAATTTAGAATAGGAGTTTATAAAAATGATGGAGAACATTCACAAGAAACATTATTTACATGATCAATTTAAAATTATCAAGTATGGTTTTTACTTTTTTTATTTTTATTTTTTAAAGGTTTTTTCTATTTTAATAAATATTATTTATTATATTATATAATATTAATAAAAAAAATTATTAGTTATTTTGAAAATTTAAAATAAATTATATGATATTATGATATCAATATAATTTTTTATATTATATATATATAGTATTTTTTTACTTTAAATGATATTAAATTATCATACATCTATATTAGTATATTAGCATATATTAGAATTTAAAAGGCGAACATGAGTTTTTAAGATTTTCAATAATCCACTGGTTAGATTGAGTTGAAATTTTGTGCAATAGTACTAGATTTAATTTCAAAAAATCATAAAAATTTTCAAAGCCACTAAATAGTATATTTAAGAAAAATTAGCATTGAAAAATATGCATTAAGATTGAAAAAAAACGCTGGCCAACATTGGAATGGATTTTAAATTTTATCTTCTATTTGGTATGTTTAATCTTTTTTGAATTTTTTATACTTATTACCAACTTAACACTTGAAAAGCATAGAAGTTTTAAGTCAAAATCTATGGTCAAATTATTAATCATTGAGGTTTTAATTTGTTATAGAGTTAATTGATTGTTTATTTAAGATTTAAAATTTAATTAGAATTTGATTAGGATTTTTTAAAATTTTAGGATTTGATTAAAATTTGGTTTAGGATTTAAATTAAAATTTAATTAAGATATTTTTTAAAAAATTATAATTTATTTATATTTATTATTTATAATATTTATTTTTAATTTTAATTTTTAATTTTTTAGTATTTTTTGGAATTTTTATAAAATTCCTTGTATTTTCTTTAAAAATTCTTAAGGATTTTTTAAATATTTTTATATAAATTTTTAAAGATTTTAATTGGATTTGATTAAGTTTTGATTAGAATAATTAAGCTATAATTGGAATTTATTCAAGATTATATAGAATTATTAGAACCTTGTATTGTAATTTCTAATTAATCTTCCACAATCAAGTACTTGGTATATTCTCAATCAAGAATTCATATAATACAATAATGCTTATAAAAATTCAACTTAATCTAATATAAAAATTATATGAAAAAACCAAAATACCACATTAATGTCTATTTGGCTGCTAACTTCAATAGGGATGGAGAAATTGAAGTAGAAAATTTTCTATGTCCAATTGTTAGTTTTTGTTCAAAATTAGTTTTTTTTATGGTCTTTAAAACTTCTTAGTACATATTAGTTTTTATTATACTCCAACTAACAAATCTTTAGATATCACAAAACATATCTTAAACTTATACCTTCTTTATGCATGTCTACTACACTTAATTAATTATATAATTAAGAAATTCTAACTATAAATATTACTTAGAATGCATAAATCAACTAAAAATACTAGCACTAATTTTATTGTTTATAATCCTAATTGCTAATATAAATCCTCTCAAAGTCATTTCAAAACCAAATAAATGAAATTATTTGTACTTGGAATTAATATGGACTTAGTTCGCCAATCCTATATAATTATCTCCAAATACTCTTATATTTTTCTATAGGCAATTTTTTTAGTGGTTGGAGGCCTGATCTTGACCATGACTCACAAACAACCATCTCTTGAATATCAATTCAATCAATCTTAGAATTCTTCTAAAATAATCCTATACTTAGCTTTATTTTAAAATCAATCATATCAACTATTTACTTAATCTATCTTATTTTTATCATTTTATGGTCTTTTAAAAAGTAATAATAGTATTTTTACTATAAAATATAACTTTGAAAGAATTTTTTTGATTAACTTCAAATTATTTAATATTAAGACAAGAAATATAAACTAACAAGATTTTATAAAGCCATGTTTAAATATCTAGAATTCTTATTGAACTAAAATAATATATATATTAGTTATTTTTTTTATTTTTTATTTTTTATATCTTTACCATATAGTTGTGGTACAATACAACAACATAGCATTTGCACATTTTACTTTGTTAGATTTGTTATAAGTGTCATCTATTTTTTGTCCCATTTCAATTTCTATCCATATGCTATCATATTATGTGTTGTCTTGTTTAAGAATGCATTTGACACTTGGTTGTAAAAGATAAACTTGTATTTTGTAACTATTAAAAAAACTAAAAATCCTAGTAAATAAATAAAAAAATTCTAATAAAATCTTAATAATTCTAAGCTTAATCAAATCTTAATTAAATATTTTTTTAAAAAATTAAAAGTCCTAAAAAATCTCTAAAGAAATTATAAAGACATCTTAAATAATTGAAAAAAAAAATCTCTATAAAAACCATAAAGAAATCCTAAGTAAATTCTAAAAAATCTTAATCAAATCTTAAGTAAATTCTAATTATAATCCTAAGAATTCTAATAAAATCCGAAAAAATCTTTAAAAAATCTTAATTAAAACTTAACCAATTATGATCAAACTTTATTGTACTTTTTAAACTTTAATAATTATTCATAAAAATTATTGATCTTAATTTAAAATGTAAAAAAAATTAATCAACTATTTAACAAAAAGGATACAAAATTTTAAAAAAATTAAATTAAAAATTGGAATAAAAAAATCTTAATCTGCTTGAATATGGCTATTTTTTTCAGCTTTGTATCATAGACAAATATATTTATTCTAATAACTATCTAGATAATATGATTAATTAGAAGTTTATAAAAATAGATTAGTTTAATAATATCTTATAGAAAAGTATTATAAAAGCTTTATAAATGTGATTTTATCTTTACATGTATTTATAGATGATTGATAGATTGAACATTTAATCACTAAGTTAGCTATGTATTGCATATGTTAGTAGCTTATAGTATAAGCTAACGATGTGACATACACATGAAAAACTTGCCTTGTAAGTTAAAATACATATGTTATAAATTAGACACTTATTATAGATCTTAAAGAATGTTGCCAAATAGTTCTTAATTAGATAGTATATATATATATATATATATATATAGAGAGAGAGAGAGAGAGAGAGAGAGAGAGAGAAGCCTTCTTCACTCTTATCAATTCATTTCTTACTTCTAGTCTAATTTTCAAAGTTAATATCTACTAAAATCAATTAAAATCAATGCTCAAATATTTATATATAAGTTTGT